TGAAGGAAGAAGTTCAAGCTGCACTGAAGACATTGGAGAAAAGACTACAGGAATTGATGGAATACCAACTGAGATGTTTCAACAAGTGGATGCAATGCTGGAGACACTAACACGTCTTTGCCAAGATATTTGAAAGACAATTACTTGGCCAATTGACTAGAAGAAATCCATATCTGTGCCCATTCCAAAGAAAGATGATTCAACAGAATGTGAAAATTATTGAACGATATCATTACTATCACACACAAGTAAAATTCTGCTGAAGATAACAACTAAAAAATGGTTGCAGCTGTATCTCAACAGAGAACTGTCTGAAATGCTTCTCCTTAGTGTCTACCTTCTAGGCTTTGTCACCCACTCTCTGCTCCATGCTGACTGATAATTCAAGTAAATTAAACGAAGCATCTGGAGGCCTCTTAGTTGGCCCCAAGTGTGTCTGACCTTTTTGGGTGTTGATTTGGTATAGTACACTTATTTTTTATGGCTCAATAATATTCCCTTGTATAGATATTCATAGTGATACTGCCTCGGAAACCCAAGGAGGGGTCGCTATGAGTCGTGTTCGACTTGACGGCACATAGCAACAACAACAACATAGATATTCATAAGGTTTTCCCTGGCCAATTCTTTGAGAAGTGTGTGGCTTTTTCCTTCTTCTTACTCTGTCTCAGTTTGCAAGCTGCGCTGAAACCTGGGCACCATGTGCTCCCTGCTGGGTTTGAAACACTGGTGGCACAGCCTCAAGACTCACAGCAACAAGCCACCACAGTAGGACAAACTGACAGAGAAGTTTGTCTCCCTTAGCTGTTTGCAACTTCTCCACCCTCCCCTTACCTGGATTCCTGCTGCTGCTCCTTGCTCTGTCCTGGTCCCTCTGGCTTTTTCTCTCCTTTCCCCTGCTTTATAGACATACCACATAGATATACCACATGTTGTTTATCCATTCACCAATTGATGGGTATTTGGGATGTTTCCACATTTTGGCTATAATAAATACTTGCTGCTATGCGTATTTGTATACATGTATATGTATGGGTGTATTCTTTCAATTTTCTCTCTCTTTATTGATTTGCAGGATTTGTTATGAGTCTGCCTCCTAGAGATGTGTTGGAAATATCTTCTCCAGCCTTGTGGCTTGCTTTCTTACTCTCTTTATGTTGTCTTTTGATGGAGAGATGGTCTTAATTTCAATGAAGTCAAATTGATTGATCTTCCCCTTTATGGCTAGTGCTTGTTATATTCCATTTTAGAAGTCTTTCCCTTCATTGAAGTCTCAGTGATAGTCTATGTTTATTTTCTAGTTGTTGTTGTTGTTGTT